AACACTAAATAGAAGAAATTGACAAGGACAACACCGCCGAAGCTAAGAAGAAGAAGAAAAGTGAAACATATAAGATATGATAGAAGACACTCTTTAGAAGCAAAAATTTTGTTAACTGATTATATGTTTTTTTTTGTTGCAAATGGAGTTGAATGTAATTCCCTTAAGTTTTTTTAAACAAAGGGTCCTGTTGGTGTTAGTAGGAAGTAATATGCAACAATCAAGTTTGGATGTTTCTCAATTTTTCTATTGTTCTTCGCATAATAGAGATATAAAGGGTGAAGTAAGGAAACGAGTAATAGGACCAAAGACTTCGTAAAGTTGCAGTATCATGCACCTAAAGACTTTTGTCTATTTTTTGTCTTTATTTTTATGATGCAATTCATAAATTAGATTTGAATATTTCAGCTCCATGATGGGAAAACAACAACTCCCTGATTTGTTAATAAAATAAAATTCCATATGTAACAATTTCACCTGCAAAGAAGAGAAATGCAAGTGTAGAGAACTCATCTTTCTTTCCAATCCTGAAGGCTTCAATAAATAGCAACATATAAATGAATTAATATAACTTGTAACAAGTAATATAAAACCTTTTATAAAAAGTTCAAACCACATATAATCAACGTCAATAGCAAATTGCCTTAACTCCTACATTGCCTTGTTTTTCAAGATTTTCCATTAACAAGAATCAGTAACCTTCACCTTATGCTGTTTGCGTTTGATAAAAAAAACAGAGCATGATTTGCAGTGGAGCTGGCTAGTGTTTACTACAAGAGTATGCTCTTTGAAGTCATTAACATCAATACAAATGACAGAATTCATAAAAGAGGGGTCATTCAATACATTACACAAGAGCAATAACTCTTGAGCCCTGCTATTCAATTTTCATATAAATAAAACATGAGAGAAATAGATACTAGAAAACTCGGACTAATCTCTCTAATATCTTCAACTAACAATTCTATCGAGGAGAAACTGAATATGTTTGTAATATCTGAAATCGCTTATAGAGCGTCCAATTCAATGTCTACCGAAACAAACTTCTGCCCTAGTAGCCAATTGATAGCTCCTCTAATGCTAGAAAGCTCACCCTGTAAAGTGTATAAATATCCCATCCTTGGCAGCGCTGCACCCGCGATGAATTCCCCGTGCTCATCTTAGAGAATACATCCAAAACCACACTTGTGACGCATAACAAAAGCATCCACGATCATCTTTACTCTTCTCAGGTTCGTCCGCCTCTAACAAGAAGTAGTCAGCTGCTATGAAGCTCTTTGTTTACCTGCACTTTGTTTTAATTGAACCCAACTATTCACAAGGCAGCAACCTTCTGCTCAAACAGCCCTACACGCATGCTCAACCCATTTCCAAACTCTTCTATTCCTTTCGCATCACAGCCCCCAACACCCCAAGGGCCCCATGCTAAGTTGTTGAACTCTGTCCCTTTCTTCATGGTCATAAGATGGTATTATCACCTATATGATACAATAATCCATTAGTGCACAATGAGCTCAACCCTTGAATAGTAAAAAAATGGAAAACAACTGAAGCATCCCTAGTACCATTCAATTTGAAGGCTCTTATTTTGAGTTCCCAAATCAATTGTTTGGATTTCATAAATCAATCCAAATAAAGGACATAATAACTTTAAAATTAGTGATTTGCAACTTAAGGTTACGTTCTCTGTCAACACACAACTTTTACTGAAATTACTATAACTACTAACTCAAAAGACATAACTTTTATTGAAAACTCGTATGAGGTTTAAATTGACAGTAAAAAGAGGTACCTGGATAGTATGGGCTACAAAAAACTGGCAGGTTACCTCAAGTTGTGTAATATAGTGGTATCTGAAAATGCATCCTATTTTCATAACTTTGCTTTAAATCATGAATAAATTGAGTAGTACATGAGAGAGGCAACAAATTACGAAGTATAACTACAAGAACACCCAAGCTTTAGCCCCAAAATATGAAGTATAGCTAAAACTATAAAATCATAATAAGTTCAGTCTAATTAATCTACATAACTATAACCTCATCCAGAGGTGCCAATCAAAATATTATTTCAATGTCTGGATGTAGATCCATTTGTGCGGCATTATTCACGAATCAAGTACATAACATCAATTACCATTAAAACATTTCATCAAACAATTTCATAGAGTCAGCACACATAGTTACGAAGTTACGGGCAAAACATGAACTCAATATCTATGTCAACAAAGAATCAGCACACATAGCACAAGTACACATATCAGAATTACTTTACACGATTCTAACATGATCAATAAGGCAAAAATCATAAAAAAATAATTGTTCTAAACAATTGATTATATCATAATTTAGGATTCACAAAATCAAAACAAAATTCCAGGTAAAATTCAATCACATCGCATATATTGGAGCAGATGAGGGAAGAATTTAGAACTTCAGATTTCGGACCTTTGGCCTGTCTTCGATGGGCAGTCGTCGTCACCAAATCGCTCTTTTGCTCTTGTACGGCGCTCGAATAACCTTCATCTCTCAACCATGGAATTGCTGAATTGAAAGAGCCAATTGGGGGAGACGGACAGAGATGGCATGTGTTCATACGAATGAAGAGATGTCATTTAACAAAAAGGTATAGAGTTGACGAATTTTACAAAAATGCCATTAATGATGCGGCCGTATTGAAGTGATCGAACAGTTGGGAGAGGTTAATCGGACGGCAGTAATCACTTCTCATTTTTCAGCCTAACTAAGACTTCTCATGGGATCTTTTCTATATATATATATATATACACTCTATATATAGAGTATATATATACACACACACACACACACACACATATATATATATATATACATATATATAATCATATGTTCAATTACTATTATAAAACTTTGTAACTAGTGACCAGGTTTTCCCTAACGTTAACCGGATTGATTCACTAAGTTTAAATTTGAATCGTGGCTAGGCTATTTACTACTAGTGGTTTCAATTTTCAGAACGCGAGTTTTTTTTTAAATTTTTTTAGGAAGAAATGACTCATCACCCTAATTACATCTTTTTAATATAACATTTATTATTATTTTAATATTACTTTTTAATCATTAAAAGTAATTAATTCCACCCCACAACCCTCACCCACCCATCGCCGCCCCATTGCCACACAATCCGCCACTAGGCCCACTACAAACCGTCGTCTAGCACCACCCACTACTGTCGTACCCTCATTGACGATAATATGTGACCGACATATATAGTTATTATCAAAGTCCCGCTAGTGATACATCCCCAAATTGACAGTCAAAAGCATGTCTCAACTTGAGACTGATTGTATCTGCAATTTCTGCATATGTCCTTTACTTGGAAATAAAGTTTTGGTATCCAATAAAACTTATTCTAAGTGAAATATTGGTTTATAAAAATACTTTCTCGAAGAATTATCATTTCTTCATACTTCAAATGTGAATAGCTAGAAGTGATAACATGAGTACATTTGTTGTATTTACTCAATGTACGTCAAACATGTTGTTATCGATTATTGTTGGGTGTGTATTTTCAGCTCATGTCTCCAACCTAACAACTCACACACACACCACCCCACGTCTGTTTAGCCACTTCACCACTCACTAGGTTTAGCCTCACACTCTCTTCTCACCTCTCAAGCTCTCACAAAGGAACTCCCTCAAAGGAAGAAACACAAAAGAAAGAAGCGGTCCAGTTAATATAAATGAGGAGTTGTCCTCAATTATCAAAGGTAGGGAAAGTCTGGACAAAACACCAATAGACAGGCTGCAACGGATAGGTAAGGCTACAAAGAAAAAACTGAATTACTAGAAGGCAACGATAATACCACAAAAAAAAGTTTAGGCTTCTCTGTGGTTCGACACCCTACTTTATCATATGATGTAGGCTAAAATTGGTGGGCACACCCTAAAATTTATATACAAAGACAGGCTGCAATGGATAGGTAAGACCATTTGTAGTGGTTTAAAAAGTTAAAAATGGACTTCAATTCGTCCATATGAAAACAATGTTTAGACTCCTATTCCTTACATTCTAACACCGTCTATAAAATACACTCAACATATTTTTTCACATATCAATTTAGTAAAACATTAATTACATTATTATAAGTAATATTTTCAATTTAATTTTTTCCCTAAATAATTATGAAATAAAAAATACGTATTCCGATGTTAAAATAAATAAATTTCCTTATTTTTTTTACGTTTTTTGGTTAACAAAAAAATGCATTTAGTCCAAGTAAAGTTTATTATGGAATATTCAGTTATTTGTAGAGGCTCCATGAATTAAAAATTTGTGTTTTGTATTTTTCAGGCTCAAGAAAACTCCAATAGTTAAAACTTAAGATTTTTTTTCATTTTATATATTACATATTGGTGTCATATGAAAGATAATAAAAATTCATAGATTTTGATATATTTTTTGAAAAATTTGGAGAACAAATAAAAAAGTTATAAGAGTTTTGAAAAATTTGGGATTATAATGATGTAGGGATGACATCATACTCACATCCATACAATGCATTCTGGGCCATTCCCTTCCCTATTTCTTTTCTTTTTCTTTTTTCCACTACTACCAACCACCCTCTATTTCTAAGAGTTTTTTTTTCGAATTAATGTTAATTAATTAATTATTTATGAAAATAATGCTGGAAAAAAAGTTATTACCGATCTACTGCTGGCCTTAACCACGGTCAGAGGTAAGTCGCCCAACGGTTGGGCGACTTATAAGTCGCCCAACCATTGGGTGACTTACCCTTAAGGAAAAATAGCGCCCAGCCACTAAACAGAAGCTGTGTAAACCAAATCCCCCCCCCCCCCCCCCAAGCCGCAGCGACAACGGACGGAAGAAGGAACGACGACCGAGCCATTTCCAACTCCGGCAAACCTCCATCTCCGGCGACCCCACTCTCCGGCAAACCTCCATCTTCCTCTTCAACACTCTTTCTTCTTTCTTCTAGGTATATCATAAATCCAATTATTCATTTAAAATATATAACCATATATGCAGAGGGAAATTTAGAAAAGTGGTGAGGAATGAGGATAGAATTATATAAATGTAACTAACCAATTAAATGTGACTTTCATTAATTAAAGATGTGATTGAAATAAATTCTTCTTTCTCTTCCCCACCACTATCACATAAAAGGGTTCCAATATTTGTGTGCAGAGTAACTATCAATATCAATATAAGATGTTTCATGTGTTTTAAACAAATGGTTAATTGTATGTGCCTTTATCTCTTGCGCTTGGACTTGAGAGATGTCATTGACTGTGAATTGCTATGCCAGTTGCGCTTCCTTTGGTTGATAAACCAGTTATTGATTTGCTTGAGCTGCAATCCTGTTTCCTCAACTAGTTTTGCCTTGTCATCTTCCTACAATTGTAACAAATTTTCAATTGTGGTTCTAGTTTTATTTCCTCAAATGATCAAAGATTAGCATACATAATGAGTAACAGTTCATCCATCATTATTTAATGTTTAGAGATGTTGTTTCTATGGTATATATAGCTTTTGCTATAACTTCCAAATGTGTAAATTTTTAATTAAATAGAACTTTTGCGATAACTTCCAAATGTGTAAATTTTACTAATAAACACTAATTCAATTATTATTCTAGATTCTCCGGCCGAGTATCCTAAAATAAACTGAGAACCTTAAATTGGGTAGAGAATACGATAGTTGTGGCATTGACACGTTGTCCCCATCATCACCAAGAAAAGCAAATTAGGATGTTTTTACTTGGACTGTAATTTGCCCCAGACCAGACCAGTTCAGACCAGACCAGACCAGTTCAGACCAGTTCAGACCAAACCAGACTTGGATAGTTATAAAAATACAAAGAAACCAGACCTTACCAGACCAGACTAGACCAGACCAGACCAGCAAATTACAGTCCAAGTAAAAACATCCTTAGTACTCTAAGTACATATAAATGCCTACGTTCTATTGATTTGGCTGCACTTGATCTTCACGCATAAATTATGCAAATTAATCATTACCTCTCTCCCTATGTTTGATACATGAGAATTGAGAAGGATGTGTGACTGTGGTTATAAAAAGAAAAATGAGTTTGTATTGTTAGTATTGAATTAATTAAATAAGAATAAAGTAAAAAAAAATACAACCACACAACATTACCAACTTTGCTTTGAAATAATCTTAATGTGACGAATAAAAACAAATGAGACCATCTTAGCGGAATGGATGTAGTAATTCACATTGCGAGTCAATGCAACTATGGTCTCACTTGACAAGAGTAGCTAAGTGTATGCTTTCCTCTTCTGCATGACTACATTCTCGGATTGGTCGGTCTAGTTTGAGATAAATGGTCATAATTATGTAATTTTTGTATGTACTTCATCAGTCTTAAATTGATTTGCAATTTAAGGGTTTAAGATTAACTAATAATAAAGTTAAATTATCATTCAATAGTTAAACCAGTTTTAATAATGACATTTTGACAAAAATAATACCAATGGAGAAGTTAAGAACAGATATAAGGCTTGTTTTAAAAATCCAAAAACGAAAAAAAAAGCTAAGAGTATTATTACACCCTTAAAAAACTCAGTTGATCCGCTACAATGACAATGCTACAGTGACCAAATTTAGAGTGGCCCCGTCCCACATTGACTAATGTTATAGTGACTCCGGCCAAAGTGATATGCTGCCACAGTGACCTTGGCACCAGTGACCACCGCCGGCTACCGCCAGTGACCCACTGTCAGCCGTAGTGACTACACCGTTCAAAGTGACCACTACCGTCAGTTACCGTTACAACCAATTCAGTGACCTAATTACACAACCATCTAGGGGCTCAGTTCAACAACGTCCCTGCACTAGCCAACACCCTCCTTGCCCCGGCCTAGCCATTACCACCACCCATGTCGCAACCTAGCCACCTACCACCCCTTCACCGACCCACTAGCCCGTCACTACCCCTCTATAGTCCACCAACCCACCCACACTAGCCCCCGCCTATAACCATACATGTCGCTAGCCCCAAAGGCACAACCATCAACCTACACCGCGAATCCTAGCCGCCATTTTGCCATGGTCGTCGTCACGCGGCCATGTCATCATGGATCTGAATAGGGCTTGACGATCGACGAAGGAGAAAATGACATATGGACAAGAAGAGTGACGAACCTGGTTGATCGAGATGGTGGCGATGCGATGAACCTAGTTGATGGAGATGGTGTCGACACGACGAATGTGGATGACGACAATGGTGGCGAGTGCTGACACGATGACGATGGTGATGAGGGAGAAGCTTACAATGGTGATGCTGGAGACACTGGCGATGGTGACGACAACTTGGACTGAGGTGAGCAACAGTGGAAGTTGAGATGAAAGGGGAGGGTGGACAGGTGTAGACAGAAAGTGATGAGATTGATAGAAAGGTATTTTGGTCTATTTCTTAAAATATAGTTTCTTTTTGTCAAATTTAAATTAGGTCCTATATTTGTTCATTGAAATGTCATTGGTATTATTTTTGTCATTCTTTATTTAATAATTACTCCCTCCGTCCCTTAAAACTTTGCCAAGTTTGACCGGCACGAGGATTAATAAAGTAAAAACAGTGTGGTTGAGAATTGTGCAGAGGAGAGAGAATTAACTGGAACCACAAATTCTTTACTTAAAAGGGAAAGTGGCAAAGTTAGTGGGACGTCCAATACAGGAAAGTTGGCAATGTTTTAAGCGACGAAGGGAGTACATTTTACATATTCAAAACCCATTGAAAGTTCAAACTTTGTTGATATAGAAATAAACTTGCAAATCATATTGGGATTGAAGTATAACTTTAATAAGATTTTAACTTTTTATCACCTGAAATTTGGGGAATGAAAATGATAGATTGGTATGAATTATTCACTCACAGTTGGATATGGCCACTTTGAGTGTTGCTGCCACCAGGTCTTAAGAACAGTGGTAGTGTCACCTGGCAATTTCCCAGCTCTTCTCTTCCTTAATATCTCCTCCCTTACATCCTCAATTCTTGATCTGAATCCCTATACTTGCACAAACATTCAAGTTACTCCCAACCCCAAAAAGCAACAAAATGTTATTACTATAGCCAATTTATATAAGATGCCATGCATGTCATGTTTTGTCTCGCATCTTTATGTCAAGTAAAAAATTGTTGGTACACACTTTTGCTTACACCCCTTAATTATCTGTCTGCAAGGCAGCTTCTGAACGAATTGCCTATGTAGACAGACAACTAAGGGGTGTACACAAAAGAGGTGCGCAAAATATGTGTACACCAAGCACCACTGTCAAATTGGCTTGACATGATACTCAGAAAATTGACCTGTTTTAGCTCAATCTTTAACTCTTGACGAACCCTCTCCATGAGTGACCTTTCAGATTCAGTAGGGAGCAGTGGCCCAAATCCCATCAAGTCATTCCCCTCAGTTCCTGTTTGATCAAAAGTGAAATCCATCTGCAACTCATCTTCATCATCAGACATTGTTGCACCTGTTCCTTCACCCAAACTTGCTCCTGAGGAGGCCAGGATAATACGTAGGCTAGTTATTCATTTTTGGAAATCTTCCTAGCTTACACAGGTCTTCAAATTTTGTTTTCCATTTATTTAGGTGATGAAAAAGATATAGTATTGCATCAAAGCTTTAGTTTTATATACTACGTATCAATTTTGAACACCAAATAGGCAAATAATTAAATCTCAATCTACCTCTTCTTTGAGATATCAGTGTTGATAATTTCGTATTACCTTCATCTATTCCATACTGTATGTACGATACTTTTTTTTTTTTGGCTGGACTTTTTTAGTCTCTTACAATATCGGTTTAATACTTCAATATTAAATTATCAACAGTAATGTCATCGAACTTGTGACCTTCTCCTTGGGAGAAAATGCGAGTGTCACAATAATGTCATCGAACCACAAGGTGCTAACATGTACGATACTTAAGCATGTCAATTGTGATGTATAATAAAAATGCTTAAAAAAATCACAATAGAGATAAAAGTTACTTTATAATGAGACCTTTAAACAAAATTACTTGTATAGTTAGAGCACCTATAATGACAAATAGTAAAGTTGAGTTATCAAGTAGGAGTCTTCTTAGTTGGTTCTTTGACTCTACACTTAAGTACCAAAACGATTTTGATTCATTGAACGGCTAATAAATATAAAACGTACTGCCTCAATTGCATTTTACATGTCATACTTTTATTTTTGAGAAGTCTCAAAATAAGTGTCACATTTCTTCTTTTGGAAAGAAATATGTACTTTACATCATTTCACTTTATTATACTCAAATCTCAACTACATTTTTTACTTTTTTAACCATATTATTAATTATTGTGTCAAGTCAATGTGGGACAAATAAAATAAGACGAAGGTAATAGTATTCAACATCACATTGAAGATATTTTTTAATCTAAACTGTTGGTATTGGCCCTTGTTATTTTTCCCTAAGCCCAACCTACCTTGGTTGTACCCGGCCCATAGTTAAATCGGTTTTCCGATTCACTTCTGCGATGAACACTTCGACTTCTCTTCTGGTTCTTTCCTTGGCATTCTTTCCTTGTTCGAATTATGAAATCTCTCTGTATGGTAATTACCATCTTTATGGATTTGAGCCTCACCTATTTATTCCCCTCAGTTCTGCCGAAGGAGGTTCTTGGCCGAAACCTATTTCACAGACTATTCCTCCTTGTTCCTTTGTGGGCTTCACCGGAAGAGTTGGCCGGAAATACCTTGCTGGTTGACGCCCCTTCTCCCCTTAGTGATTCTAGTGGTGTTTATTACCCTTTGTGGGTATAATCCTTGGAGACCTGAGCTGGAATCATACTTATAACAGTGGTATCAGAGCCAGTCGCCGCCCGCCGCCGTCTCGCCGCCGTCTGCCGCCGTCGAACGTTCAGCCGCCGCCACCGGAGTTGTCCAGACCTTCTGCCGGAGTCCAGACGCTGTCCAGAAGCTTCAGACAGTCCGGGGAAGCTTGAAGCAGTTCAGCCAGTCCAGAAGCTGCTGCCTTCACCGGTCCAGACCTGCTGCCGCCTGCGAGGGAGCTCTGCCGCCAGTCCAGTCCGCTGCCGCCACGCTTTACAGCAGCCCACGCTGCCTACGGTAAGTCGGGTAACCCAACCTCGGGCCCCGCTCAGGTAAATTGGCGTTTAACATCCTTGGTGTACCGGAGTGCCACCGGATTTATTTTTCCCCGTTCCCCGCTGCCCGCTGCTGACCTACGTGGTCTTGGATGCCGGCTGTGTCCGGCCCCTGGTACGTTTACTAATCCTTTGTGTGATTTTTATTCGTAGTTCATTTGTTTTAATTTCAAGTTGAATTGCTATTTAATTGTTAGTTGAATTGTGATTACTTGTTGAATCGTGAATTAATTTTCCGGTGAAGAATATTTTGTTTGGATACTCGTTGTCCAAAGTTGTGAATATTTCTTCCGGTTTAAATTTAATCACGTGTTGGATTTTTTATTTTGACTTTTCTGTTGATTGATTCGTGGATAAACTCTCCGGTTAAGAATATTTGTTTGGATACTTGTTGTCCGAAGTTGGGAATATTTCTGTCCGGATTAGTTTTAAATCCAGTTTCTTTGCTTGTTGATTTAATTTTAGCCTATTTGTGCTTGTACGAAAGAACAAGGAGATTGTACCCCGAACTTTGTGTTCATTGGTCTTCTCGGCTTGTTCGTGCTAGTTGCTTCGTACAATTGATAGCCCTATAGGTTATAATTAATCATTTATCTGTCTGTTGAGTAAATAAAAATTTTTATCTTGCTTGTACGAAAGAACAAGGAGATTGTACCCGAGCCTTGTGTTCATTGGTCTTCTCGGCTTGTTCGTGCTAGTTGCTTCGTACGGTACGAAAGAACAAGGAGATTGTACCCGAGCTTTGTGTTCATTGGTCGTCTCGGCTTGTTCGTGCTAGTTGCTTCGTACTGTTCTTTGCTTGATAATTTTTTTTTATTTACTCTCTTGCGTGTTGTGCTTGCTTTCCGGTTAATATGGCTGTCAATCAATATGGCATGCTTCCATTTAACGGAAAGACAGATTTTGATATCTGGAAACAGAAAATCAAATGCGTGTTGATCCAACAGAAAGTCTATAGAGCTGTGACTGGTCTCTATTTAGACTCTGAGGATGCTGCTAAGCGCGTTGAGATGAATGAAACTGCTTGTTCCTCTATATACCTGAACCTTTCTGATTCAGTGCTCAGGAAGGTGGGTATTATAGATTCCGCGAAGGATTTGTGGGACAAGTTGGATAAGCTGTATACCGATACTTCTTTGCCTGGTAAATTGTTTTTGCTTGAGAAGTTCTTTAGATTTAGGCTCGACCTGTCTAAGGACATAGATGAGAACCTAGATGTGTTTAACAAGCTTATTCAGAACATTAAGCAAGCCGGTGATAAACACATAGATGACTACACGCCCATAGTGTTACTTAATGCCATCCCTGACTCATACAATGACGTCAAATCTGCCATAAAGTATGGTAGAGACGATATCTCGTTAGATATAGTCGTTAATGGATTAAGGAGTAAGGAGTTAGACCTTAGACACTCGAGGGGTAGTAATAGTCAGTCTAGGGACTCTGGTGAAGCATTGTTTGTGAGGGGTAGGTCTAAGAGTAGATCTAGAAACCATAAGAAGGGCAACAACGATAAGAACAAAAACAATGACCCGGGGAAGAAGAGAGGTAAGTCTAAGAAGAGAGTGTGCTATAATTGTGGTAATTCTAGTCACTTCATTAAGGATTGTCCCCATCCGAAGAAGTCTGAACATGCTAATGTGGTAGATGATAATAACTTGCATGAAGAAGTTTTTATGATTTGTGATTCTGCCAATTCTGTGTTGAGTAGCATGACTGAAAATGAGTGGTTGATTGACTCTGGTTGTACTTATCATATGACACCTTTTAGATCCTTGTTTGCTTCTTATGATTCTTGCAATGATGGTTTTGTGTCTCTTGCTGATAATAAGAAATGCAAAATACATGGGGTGGGTGATGTATGTTTGAAGTTTGATAATGGGACTGTGTTTACTATGAAAAATGTGAGGCATGTTCCTGATTTGCGTCATAACTTGTTTTCTGTCGCTGCTTTTGAGGGTAGTGGATTAGAGGGTAAATGGGGTAATGGGTGCATGAAAGTTTTGAAAAATTCCCTTGTTTTGTTTAAGGCAAAAAAGGTGAATAACTTGTATGTGTGCCATGCTCAGCCTTTCTGTGATTCTGCTCATGTTGTTAGTTCTGATAAATCTGCTTTGTGGCATAATAGATTAGGACACATGAGTAATAGGGGTTTAGAGATTTTGCATAAATCTGGTTGTTTTGGTAAGGATTCTGTGTCCCCCATCCCCTTCTGTGAATCTTGTGTGTTAGGCAAGCAGCATAAGGTTACATTCCCCTCCTCCCCATATCCTAATCCCACTAAGTGTACCTCTGTGTTAGAGTATGTTCATGCTGATGTGTGGGGTCCTGCTAGTGTCTCTACCCACGGGGGTAAGAGATATTTTCTGTCCATCATTGATGATTTTTCTAGGAAGGTGTGGGTCCGTCTCCTTGAACATAAGTCTGATGTCTTTGTGAAGTTTAGGGAGTGGAAAAACCTTGTAGAAAATCAAACTGGTAAGAAGGTCAAAACCCTTAGGACAGATAATGGTCTAGAGTTTTGCAATAAGGATATGGACCAACTGTGTGTTGATTGTGGGATTAGAAGGCACAAAACTGTGCCCTATACTCCCCAACAAAATGGGATAGCCGAGAGGATGAATAGGACTGTTCTAGATAAGGTTAGGAGTATGCTTGCTACCGCCGGTTTGTCTAAAAAGTTTTGGGGTGAAGCAGTTAACACTGCTGTCTACTTGATTAACCGGTCTCCTTCTGTTCCCTTGGGTGGGAAGTGCCCTGAATCTGTTTTTTCAAACAAACCCCTTGATTTGTCTAATCTTAGAGTGTTTGGGTGTGCAGCGTATGTGCACCAACAAGGTGACAAGTTGGATCCTAGGTCTAAGAAAGGAGTCTTCCTAGGTTATCCCGAGGGTGTGAAGGGGTATAGGGTTTGGGATAGGAACCAGGTAGGTTTCAAAGTTGTGGTGAGTAGAAACGTTGTTTTCAATGAATCCGAGTTTCCTTGTCTGGTTAAGTCAGTTCCTGAGTCTGAGTCTGATCCTAGTAGTACACCCGTTGAGGTGGAGTCCATACCACGTGCTGCTAGCCCTTTGTTTGCTAATCATGATAATGTTGTTTTGCATGATTCTAATTCTTCTGAATTGCATGATTCTGATTCTTCTGAGCATGATACTACCACCACTTCGAGTGAGGTGGAGCATTCTCATGTGCATTCAAATGACAATGAATCGCATGATGAGAGTGCGGATGCTAGTGAGAATGATTTGCATGATTATCAACTTGCTAGAGATAGAAGTAGGAGAGTAATTAGGAGAACTGCTGATAGTATGCCTGATTATGCTTTCCATATGTGTGATACTTCTATGTTTGCTTTCTCTGTGTTT